CCACCCCCATTTGGGCCACGTATGGCAACTGTTAGGAATGCCCAACCTAAGCGTGCGTTCGGCCACCCCTCATTTGGGCCACGTATGGCAACTGTTAGGAATGCCCAACTTAGGCGTGCGCTCAGCCACCCGCATTTGAGCCACGTATGGCAACTGTTAGGAATGCCCAACTTAGGCGTGCGCTCAGCCACCCCCATTTGGGCCAGGTATGGCAACTGTTAGGAATGCCCAATTTAGGCGTGCGCTCAGCCACCCCAATTTGGGCCACGTATGGCAACTGTTAGGAATGCCTAGCTTAGGCGTGCAGCATTCCTTCCGAATTAGGACCTAATGCGGTAACGATTAGGCTTGCAGCATTTAGGTGTGCCTAATTGCTTCCGCATTAGGCCCACATTCGTCTTTAGGCATGCCTAACTGAAATTCTAGTCGGGTATATTAGCAAAAATATACGTATCTACTCGTTGTACTTCCAGCAAGCAATTCCAACCTGGAGATTATACAAATATTGTTTTATCACTGTATCAAGTAACAAAAGCTAATCTATTATAGATTACATTTAGTAATCCTCGGTCTTGCAAATTAAAACGAAAGTTAGGATTAAAATTAATTTTTCTTATTAATATAACTATTTTTGTTACATTTTGACTAGAATCTCTGTCACGAGTCTGACTCGTTGCTGTAAGACAAGAGTTTGAGCATAAATTCAGCGAGAATTATGCCTTTACAGAGATGTAACTTACTTAATGACTCATCGTTGTATTATCGCAGTAATTGCAATGAAGGATAAGAAAATGTAGAAGACCTGGTTAAACTTCATTCAGCCCTTTAATTTTTAATGACTTTCTATTCTCATTACTAATTGAAAATGAATGTAAAAGGTACTTATAGAAAGTTCAACGCCTTTACTTTCTATATAAATCGATTTCCGTGTGTGCTACAATCAAGTGTCATCAAAATGGAACAATTGGCTGCACTTCACAGTGATAATATCTAATCGAGGATATTAAAATGACTTAAAAGCACGGAGGTAAAAGCAAAGTGATAAAATTAGAGCAATACGTATACAACAGTATGCATAATTGCGAACTAATAAATATTGCAAGCGTTCTTAGGCAACGGAAAAATTGTCAACAATAAATCTGCATAACTTACGATAATTGCAGACCTTTTTAAAAAACGTCTTTTGTTATAAATTCAATACATATTTACATTTATGCTAATTTTACATTTAACCCTTTGCAGTTGAAGGCCCTTTTTTCTATAAGGAAGTAGCAAAAATTAATGTAATTTTTTAAAACTAATATTTTTATTAGAAGTTGGTTCTTTCAAACTATTTCACGGAAGTCCATAGACCTGCTGTCTTGAAAAATATCATCCTTAGAGTTAACTCTAATGGTAAATATAATGTCGCTTCTTAGTCGCCTCTCGAGTGCAAAGGGTTAATTTTTTATTTTAATTTTTAAATAAATAAATAATTTGAATTTTTTATAAAATTTGAACACATCACATTAACACTGCGTTCTAAATTAAAAATTTGAATTCCTCTCCGTTAACACAATGGAAAAGAAGGGAAGATGAAAGTGTGCTTTGCGATATCTACTGTACGGGGCAGATTAGTATCTCTTCACGGAGTAAAACGTGCTCGAAGACGAAACGTCACCGTCATTTTTACCAGTGAAGAGATCCGCACGTTTAAATATTCCGTTTTCTGCTGAAATTGTAAACACACGCTGCAGACCGTCTATCTCTGAACAAAGTATCTGAAGGCATAAATAAGCAGCAGATAATATCATTTTTAGTTGTTAGTGCATACAAATAGTTACGTATTCTGTTTCCGACAGAGTATGTGCTACAAACTTCTCATCTTCAAATAAAGCAACTGAAAGCATGAATAAGTATCATGCAACATTGCTTTTACCTTTCAAAGAATTCATACAGTTACATCTGCGTGTCCTTTGATCTTCCTGTTTCTTATGTTCGTCGTTTAGAAACGAATATAAAGGTATAAAGACAAAACTCGTAGATTATTGTTACACTGTTACCTGTGTAACAAATGTCCAATTAAGTGTGCATTGTATTTATAAAAAGATAAAGTCAGTATTGTGTGATGTGTTTAACAATTATCAAGGTTCGATTAACCAAAAATTGATTATTGTGAATAAAAGAATTTACCGAAGAAGAAGAAGAACAAAAGAAAGGAGTAAAAGAAGTATTTCGGTAAAAGGATTAATTCGTATAAATTTTTGACTTTTTGTACATTCCATGCAGATCAGACGATTTTGAAATGTTGCAATTATGTGCTAGAATTTTGATTTTGAATTGTTGCTATTATCTGTTGGTTTTAAATTCACCACGTATGGCGTTTTCATTTTTTAGTTACATTTTAATCGCGCCTTTTCTTCTTTTTTTTTCTACACTTCCGGTAGTCTTTCTATCGTAAGCCATGTATGACTGTTTTAAAGTATATAACAAAAAGAATTATAAGTGTATCGTAGTTCCGTTTCTGAATAAATTTTTCTGAAATATAAAATCTAAGTCTAACACTATCAATAATTTCAGCTGT